AAATATCTTTTTTCCCTCCTTTCTTTAGTTTCCTTCTGTGCACTTTTGAATTACACAAAGCTGTTGGTGTCAAGTAGCATCTATGGGCAGGCTGATCAACTCTGATTTTAGACACTTTCCCATAATACTCATTTATGTTTAATCATTCTGAATTTATTTTGAGAAGGAAATGGGAATATGCAACAGAAGTTTGTTCTTAGCATTAAGGTAGATCCAAGATTTTTTTAAAATTGACATATCCATCATCAAAACTATATTCTTCAAATAGTGTTGTTAGTGCAGAGCAGGAACATTGAACTTGTAATTGTAGATCTTCCTGCTTGTCACTGAACCTAAAGAAAAAATGTATCGTTCCCTCTTGTGCATTATCAGGCTTTGAAGGAGACATGACATACATTTTTCAGTATGTCAGAAAGCACTAACACAAGAACCAGGGTTTTGTGAAGACCTGTTGTTAAAATGATTGCAAATATTGTGCTATTTAGATAATAGACATAGCAGAACCAATTTTGGTATTGTAATTAAAAGATACTGGCAAGTTGGCAGCTGTCAGAAATGAATTTTGAGCTATAGCAGGAAAAAAGAAAAAGGTAAAAATTCATCTGCATTCAGGTTTGTCTGAGATTGAACGTCTTAGCTTACCTTTTTTAGTTAGTTAATATGGAAGCATATTTTTTTCCCATTAGCTATGCACAGCAAACTGTTTTAAAAACCATTTAAAGGAGTGCAAAAGAGGTTTAATGAGGCCCCTGTCAACTTGATAAAGTTAAGAACTGCAGTTCTTATGGAACAGTCTTGTTTTCCCATCATGTAGTAACATTAACAAGTTTACATTTGCTGCACCCAAGGTAATGCATGCATTCTTGTTCCCCATACTGAACTGCATCCTTTTTTCTTCATGTAAAATACTAATTTCTTTTCAACTTATATCAGAGTGGTCCAATTTAACTAGAGGAGAATGTAGTATCTTAATGTTTGTTCTGTATATTTCCATTCTTAGCAGTACCATATTCTCAGCATGGGAAATGGGCTTTGAAGGTGATTCCCATCATTTTATTTGTGTTAATCACAAATGCATGGAGAAAGTGCATGCTTTAAGAAATGAAAATGCTTACTGACTTTCTTTAACTTGCCCAGTATGTTTAAACAACCTTTTCACATGTGCATAAGATTTGAATAACCAACAAGCGGTTACGTATATACAGAGTTGTGCAAAATGATGTTTAATCCTGCCACATGGTGGTTTCTCTTTTAAGAAAATTAAGAGCAGAAAAGTATAACCCGTATGAAAATTGTAATACTCTAAACTATAGGAGGTGGACTTCCTCAAAAATTTATTTTAAACAGATGTGAAACTGTAGACATTAATTCATTCAGTTATTTGAAGTTTAATTAAATATATGCTAGATCATGACAGTATCTTGTTGCTGCAGCAGGCACTTCTGCGTATGGAAGGTGTCTCTACAGGTATTTTCTTTTGCTGTGGAAAGTTAGTTCCTCCTGTATTTGAAGGTCCTGCTAGTAATCCTTGGCAGGTTTTTTTTCTTCAATTTTTCTCTGAAAACTGTATCTCAGAAAAGCTGTTTTGTAGTAGGACAAAAGACCTTGCACAGCAAAAGGAAATGGAAATTTGTTTTTTTTTTAATAAACAGGTCCAGCTGTCTTGATGCTTCTGAACACATAAACCCAGGAATCTTCTTCATTTAAAGAGTCATTGCTGTATTGACACCTCCTAACAGTTTTCATAGAATGATAGAACAGTTTGGGTTGGAAAGGACCTTAAAATCAGCTAGTTCAAACCCCTTGCCGCAGGCAGGGACACCTTACAATAGACCGTGTCACCCAAGGTCCCATCCAACCTGGTATTGAACACTGCCAGATGTGGTACATTTACCACTTCCTTGGGTAACCCATTCCACTGCCACACCACCCTCACAGGGAAGAATTTCTTATATCTAACCTGAACTTCCCCGGTTTAAACCCATTACCCCTTGTCCTGTCACTACAGTCCCTAATGAAGAGTCACACCCCAGCATCCTTGTAGGCCCCCTTCAGATACTGGAAGACTGCTATGAGGTCTCCACGCAGCCTTCTCCAGGCTGAACAGCCCCAACTTTCTCAGCCTGTCTTCATACGGGCTGTTCCAGCCCCCTCATCATCCTCATGGCCTCCTCTGGCCTTGTTCCAACAGCTCCATGTCCTTCTTATGTTGAGGACATTCTTGTTTTGTAGACTGGAAGTACCAGTGCAGGGGATTTTGCTCTCCAGAGAGAAGTCAGTGGTTTAAAGAAGAGTAATGCTTAAGTATCATAGAATCCCAGCCTGGTTTGCGTGGAAGGGACCTTAAAGCTCATCCAGTTGCAACCCCCTGCCACAGGCAGGACACCTTCCACTAGACACTAGATCAGAGTGCTTCAAGCCCTGCCCAGCCTGGCTTGAACACTTCTAGGGATATATAAAAGCATAAAGTAGGAGAGTAAAAACACCTGGATAATTAAATAAAGGAACTGCCGATGTAAATAGGCAGCAGTCTGATTAACAATACTAATATTCCCCTTAATTGTGTTTGAGTTGCCTACCTAAGATTTTTTTTGTTTTTTGTAGTTTATTTGCAGAACAAGAGAACTTTGTAGCCTTTTTGTTCTGGACCAAATGGGTTGGAATATACATTTCCTGAGTGCCTTTGCCACCAAATACAAGTCTATTAATGGAGTAAATTTAACTTTCATCCATTCTGCCCCTGGAAACTGTGACACTCATTTGAAAGAGTCAGAAAATAGAGGTGTCTGCGCAACTTATGGAATCTGTTGACCGTTTTTATCATTAATCTGAAAATCTCTGGACCACATGCTGGCAATGTTATGTCTCTCTAGCAGAGAAATAAGACAGGCATCTGGCCATGTCCGTGCAGCTGTGAGCTCCCCAGACAGTTAGCTGGCTCCTGTATGATACCATGCATAGGGGATTGTCGTGGTTTAAACCCAGTCAGGCAACTTGTTCACTCACTCTCAGTGAGTGGTGCCCGGCTGACAGCAATCAAGTCCCCCCACCCCCCCCGGGGCTCTCCCCTTCCCTGCTCCTGGAGGAACGGGGAGGAGGATCGAAAGGGTGCAACTCCTACAGGTTGAGACAAGAACAGTCCAGCAACCAATGTACAACACAAAGCACCACCGCTACTACCAACAACAACAATGATAAGAGAAAATAACAAGGGAAGAGAATACAATACCACCGGCCAAGAAACGAGTCCCACCCAGAAGCCTGTGTCCTTTCGGGTAACTCCCAGTTACCCCCCACTCTGGGTATGATGTGCTGTGGTATGGAATACCTCCTTGGCTAGCCTGGGTCAGGCGCCCTGTCTCTGCTTCCTCACAGCTTCCCCTCCTCCCTGGCAGAGCATGAGCCTCACAGAGTCCTTGGTCAGGGTAAACATCACTTAGCAACAACTGAAAACATCGGCTTCACCAACACTGTTCCCAGGCTGGAAGTCAAAACACAGCACTGCACCAGCTATCCCAAAGGAGAAACATGACTGCTACTGCTGAACCCAGGACAGGGATTCACACTGCATATAGCAGCTGTTGTGGCCAGAGAGCATTGAGGTACACCTCAGCTAAGACACAACAGCTTTTGAGCAGCTATAGCCTTTAGCCAGAATTGAGAAGAGAGCCAGTGAAAGGTTTGATGTCTTGATCAGGTTTCCAGTGCCTGCCTTCTTACTCTGTCACTAAGAAACAGCAGCAATATATTGTTTTTTTTCTTTTTAATATATTCTGGAAATGGCATCTCAGAAAAAATGGTTTGTAGTAAGATAGAAGTCCTAGTGTCAACCTTTGCTTACAGCAAACACCTCCCAGTCTGTCTTTAAAATGAAATATATCCTGTCCTACATCTTAGTTTTTCCACCCCCATGCATGTTCTACAGTTACACATCTGTAGTTGTAATAGCATTTCTTCCAGCTCGAAATGTTGAATATTAATTTGCAGTTGCAATGGGATTAATTAGTGTGTTGGGCTAGGAGCTGCCTAGATACGCTTGGTCATGCCCAAGTTTTGGTTTGGTTTGGTATTTTTTCTTTCAGGTGAACGGAAGAGCCCATACGTGGCTGTCAGCTGTGTCGTGATGGCTTTCACCATTCTGTTTGTGCAGTAGCAACTGGAGAGTGTGCTCTATGCCCTTCTGGCAAACATCAGAGCATGGAAGAAGTTCTGACAGGGAAAGACAGGAAAGCGTCATCAAGTCTCCTCTCACGCTGGATAGTGCTATTGGATAGCTTGCCTCGTAATGGATGCTCCCCCTCCTGCTAACACACCATCATGTACAGTAGTAGTGATCATAATGCAGCTAACTCCAGATGACACATGCTCATTAATGTCAAGACAGTACTGGCACTCCTGATGCAATTCTTGAAAGGGTGTCTGATATATATCTGAGCTTTATGGAAATTGTAATTTTTTTTTTTTTTGGTTGGCTGGTTGTGGGCTTTTTGTTTGTATTTTTTTTTGTTTGTTTGGTTTGTTTGGTTTTGTCTTTTTTAATAGACCTATTTAATGAAACTTCAAAATGATAAATGTAGCAATAGCAATAAGACCACTCATACAAGAATAAGGATCATTGTGAGTTTAAGATATTTTTCATGACTGTATTTTAGTTTTTACTGTCTGAATAGTTCCTGACATTTTGTGATAACTGTACTCACATATTAAAAATGGGATCTGTGGCCTAAGCTTTCATTTCAGCTTTCGTTTTTTAAACTTGTAATTCCTCAAATTATCTATAAATATTTTTACTTTAAGACAAGATATGAATAAAGGTGGGGACCAGGACTGTAGTCATGTCTGACTAGCTGCCGAGAAGGCACAGACATGGGATTTGACGTTTTGGACTGCTCTGTGTAAAATATCGTATGTATTCAGTTTTAGAGATCTAGGTCTCGGGTAAATCTCGAGTAGATTGGTTTGAGTTGGAAGGGATCTTAAAGCTCATCCAGTTCCACCTTCCACTAGACCATATTGCTCAAAGCCAGGCCTTGAAGATTCTCCAGCTTTCTTGAGTATTATTAGAAGAGGCTTCTAAACGCTCTACTGCTGCTGTTGCATGTTGTGTAGGGTTGCGAAATCAGCTAGGTGAACAGTTAGCTTCTTAGAGGGTCCACGGATAAGGAAATCGTGTGTCCCAGTAGTCGAAAGGTGGAAGAAAACAACTAAATGAGATTACATTCATTGTTAATTAAGATTAAATTACCTTTAGTAATACTTTCCATTACCATTCATTCTATAATTTGGCAAACTTTAGTAGTCTAGTAACTTATTTTAATAATGCCTGACAGTGTGTTTACTCCAGGCAACAATATGACTTCTTACTGACTGCGTTTGAGAGAGTTGTTTGTCAGTGTTGTGGTTTAAACCCAGTCAGGCAACTTGTTCACTCACTCCCAGTGAGTGGTGCCAGGCTGACAACAATCGAGGGCTGCCCCCACCCCCCCCCGGGCTCTCCCCTTCCCTGCTCCCGGAGGAACTGGGAGGAGGATCGAAAGGGTGCAACTCCTACAGGTTGAGACAAGAACAGTCCAGCAACCAATGTACAACACAAATCACCACCGCTACCACCAACGACAACACTGATAAGAGAAAATAACAAGGGAAGAGAATACGATACCACCGGCCAAGAAACAAGTCCCACCCGGAAGCCCGTGTCCTTCCAGGTAACTCCCAGTTACCCCCCACCCTGAGCATGACATGCTGTGGTATGGAATACCTCCCTGGCTAGCCTGGGTCAGGTGCCCCATCTCTGCTTTCTTACGGCTTCCCCTCCTCCCTGGCAGAGCATGAGCCTCACAAAGTCCTTGGTCAGGGTAAACATCACTTAGCAACAACCGAAAACATCGGTATCACCAGCACTGTTCCCAGGCTGGAAGTCAAAACACAGCACTGCACCAGCTACCACGAAGGAGAAACATGACTGCTACTGCTGAACCCAGGACATTATCCACCCCTTATTCCATACCATTCACGTCATGCTCAGATCCCACATTTTCAATGCACCATCACTCTCCCGCATATATACATTCATATACATACAGACCAAGAGGAAAAGATCATTTTCTTACTGCATGGACCAATCCATATAATGCTGCCGAGTCCATTCGGTCCATGATGTCAGGTTCCATCTCTTGTAACAATCTTTCAGGGCAGGAAAGGCTGTCTGCAGTATTGGATCGTTGCCTGCTGCTGCTGGTCGTTCCTTTACTGTGGAACTCATCTGGTTCTATCAAAGTTCATTCTCTGTTGGCATGATGGTTGGAGGGAAGTCAGGGCCAGTCGCTGGTGACCTGAAGACATCTAGTTGATGAGCTATAAAAGCATTACACAGCAGGCAACCGCATACAATTGAGTTCACTGGCTGTTTTCCCCTAAAATCAAACACCCTTGAGGTATACATTGGACTTCCCCATCTTCCTGCATTACCCACCAAGTATATCCAGGTCCCTGAGCAAAAGCAATCCCACGAGTGGGTTTGCCTTTACCTGAAGCAGGAATAACCCAGACTGTCTTCCCCAGCAAATTCTTCATATGCACCATGGGAACTTTGTCCCCCTCTACAATATGTAAAAGTTCTGACTGGGCTGGGCCAGCCCTGTTGGCAGATCCTCTGGTGTTGACCAACCAGGTGGCCTTTGGTAAGTGTGTATCCCAATGCTTGAAAGTTCCCCCACCCATTGCTCTCAGTGTAGTTTTTAACAGCCCATTGTACCGTTCAATTTTCCCAGAGGCTGGTGCGTGGTAGGGGATGTGATATACCCACTCAATGCCATGCTCTTTGGCCCAAATATCTGTAAGGTTATTCCGGAAATGAGTCCCATTGTCTGACTCAATTCTCTCTGGGGTGCCGTGTCGCCACAAAAATCTGTTTCTCAAGGCCCAGGATAGTGTTCCGGGCAGTGGCATGGGGCACAGCGTATGTTTCCAGCCACCAGCTGCCTTCTATCTCTGATGCTTTCCCACAATACGGCACGACCCATCAGTGAACAAGGCATACTGCTTTTCACTTTCTGACAGTTTATTATATGGTGGGGCCACTTCAGCACGCATCACCTCCTCCTCTGGTGACATTCCTAAATCTTTGCCCTCTGGCCAGTCCATGATGACTTCTAGAATGCCTGGACGACTGAGATTTCCTATTCGAGTTCATTGTGTAATTAGTGCAGCCCATTTACTCCATGTAGCATCAGTTGCATGATGTGTAGAGGAGACCCTGCCTTTGAACATCCAGCCCAGCACGGGCAACCGGGGTGCCAGGAGGAGCTGTGCTTCAGTGCCAATCACTTCCGAAGCAGCTCGAACCCCTTCATAGGCTGCCAGTATCTCTTTCTCAGTTGGGGTATAGCTGGCCTCAGATCCATCGTATCCCCGACTCCAAAAGCTGAGGGGTCGACCTCGAGTCTCTCCTGGAACTTTCTGCCAGAGGCTCCAGGTAGGACTGTTCTCCCCAGCTGCAGTATACAGTACATTTTTTACATCTGGTCCGGTCCGGACTGGTCCAAGGGCTACTGCATGAACTATCTCGCGTTTAATTTGCTCAAAGGTTTGTTGCTGCTCAGGGCCCCATTTAAAATCATTCTTCTTCCGGGTCACATGATAGAGAGGGCTTACAATCGAACTGTAATTTGGGATGTGCATTCTCCAGAACCCCACAGCACCCAAGAAAGCTTGCGTTTCTTTCTTATTAGTTGGTGGAGACGTTGTTATCTTGTTGATCACATCTGTGGGGATCTGTCTACATCCATCTTGCCATTTTATTCCCAAAAATTGAATCTCCTGTGCAGGTCCCTTGACCTTACTCCGTTTTATGGCAAAACCGGCTTTCAGCAGAATTTGGATTATTTTCCTCCCTTTCTGAAAGACTTCTTCCGCTGTATCGCCCCACACAATAATGTCATCAATGTATTGCAGGTGTTCTGGAGCTTGCCCCTGTTCCAGTGCAGTCTGGATCAGTCCATGGCAAATGGTAGGGCTGTGTTTCCACCCCTGGGGCAGTCGGTTCCAAGTGAACTGGACACCCCTCCAAGTAAAAGCAAACTGGCCTGCACTCTGCTGCCAAAGGAATGGAGAAAAATGCATTGGCAATATCAATCGTGGCATACCACTTGGCTGCCTTTGACTCTAGTTCATACTGAAGTTCTAGCATGTCCGGTACGGCAGCACTCAATGGTGGTGTGACTTCATTCAGGCCACGATAGTCTACTGTTAGTCTCCATTCTCCATTAGACTTTCACACTGGCCATATGGGGCTATTAAAGGGTGAGCGGGTCCTGCTGATCACCCCCTGACTCTCCAGTCTACGGATCAACTGATGGATGGGAATCAGGGAGTCTCGGTTGGTGCGATATTGCCGTCGGCGCACTGTTGTGGTCACAATTGGCACTTGTTGTTCCTCAACTTTCAGCAACCCCACAGCAGAGGGATCTTCTGAGAGACCAGGCAAGGTGGACAGCTGCTCAATTTCCTCAGTCTCCAAAGCAGCAATACCAAAAGCCCATTGGTACCCTTTTGGGTCTTTGAAGTACCCTCTCTTGAGGTAGTCTATGCCGAGGATGCATGGAGCCTCTGGACCAGTCACAATAGGGTGCTTTTGCCACTCCCTCCCAGTCAGGCTGATTTCAGCCTCCAGCACAGTCAACTCTTGGGATCCTCCTGTCACTCCAGAAATACAGATGGGTTCCACCCCTTGACAGCTTGATGGCATCAGGGTACACTGTGCACCGGTATCTACTAGGGCCTTATACTTCTGTGGGACTGATGTGCCAGGCCATCTGATCCACACAGTCCAGTAAATCCGATTGTCCCCTACCTCCACCTGGCTGGAGGCAGGGCCCCTCTAGTGGTCATCACAGTGTTGGACACTTAAGTCGTGGTGAAAGGGATTATTCTTTGTTATCACAGGAGCTGGAGTAAAATCAGCTCTTCTACTCCATCTGGGAAACTGCTTACCAGAGACTGAAGCCGTAGCTCTCAGGGGACGATCAGTCTTCGCCCTTGCTCCCCTCTTCAGTTCACTCACCCATTCCTCCAAAGCTGAAGTAGGTTTTCCATCCCACTTTGTCATGTCTTCTCTGTGATCCAGCAGGTAAAACCGTAGGGTACCCCGTGGCATATACCTCCTGTATCTCCTCTCTGGAACAATAGGACGCCTTTTGTTAATAGCTGAGACCTGTGTTGGTACACGTGAGGAGCTGGATAAATCAGATAGATCGTCCCTCAATTGTTTGAGGTCCTGGGACAGTTTTTCCACAGCTGAGATGATGGAAGGGGTGAGGTTGTCTTCGAACTCTCGGAGTTTATGAACCATTTCATCCACTGTTAGTGGTACTATGTCATTCCAGGTTACTGTTGCCAATGAATATGATACGGCATATGATGACGGTGCATTCCGTGTAAGTTTTCGCCACATGGGTCGTGTACATTCAACTTCATCTGGATCTATAGGTGTATCCCCGTTATTCGGCTTGATGTGATAGATCATCTCTACGATGGCCGATTCCCTCAGAGACTGGATGCCTTTGTCTATAGTAGTCCACTTGGCCGAACGACTCATAACATCGTCCTTGTATGGAAACCTTTCTTTCACAGCTGCCAAGAGCCGCCTCCAAAGGCTGAGGGACTTTTTCTCTCTTGCAATTGCTTTGTCAATTCCCCCTTCTCTAGCAAGTGATCCCAGCTGCTTGGCTTCTGTCCCTTCTAGTTCGTGACCCTCGGCCCCATTGTCCCAGCATAGGAGTAACCAGGTGATGATGTGCTCCCCTGGTTGACGGGTAAAATCTTTTCGCACTTTTGATCTCACACTTTTGAGATCAGACAAAATGGTTGTGGGTAGAACACAGCCTGTACGTGTGCCAACATGCTGATCCCCATCGGAATCAGCAGGCAGGTCCCAAGGATACCCAAAGCCCATTCAAAACCTTCAGAACTCTCAGTTGATGCTGCTGTACTCGTCACTGGGGCTGGTGTAGCTGCTGTGCTTGCCGGCTCTCCCACCGCCAGCTTCTCTTTTCCTGAGTCCAGCTCTTCCTCCTCTGCCTTGCTGGGAAATGCTGCGTGGTCTCCTGCATCCTCCTGGGGCTCGGCGGCCGGCTCCCGGGAAACGCTCTCGGCCGTCGCAGGGCTGGGCTCTGCCGCGGGGCTCGGCTCCTCCGCGGGGCTCGGCTCCTCCGCCGCCTTCTCCCGCTGCTCTACAGCCGCCTCCTTCCCCTCCTCGACCGCCCCGACCTCCTCCACCGGCAGCCGTCCCCTCGCGGCCTCCGGCCCCGCTCCCTCCGCCGCTTGGTGCCCAGGGCCGCTCTTCCGGGCCGCTTCAGCAGCCGCCGGCTCCCGGAGCCGCTCCCCCTCTGCTCCTCGCGGCCTCACGAAGACGGAGGCGAGGACGAGGGCCAGGCCGGTGAAGAGCAGCCGGACGGCCAGGTATAAGTCCACGGCCACGTCCGTCCCGCCCTGCTGCTGGAGCCCGCCCGTGTTACAAGTCATTGCCATAAAGCACAGTGAGACAAGAACCTTAGCCCAAGCCCCACACTTGAGAAACACTAACACAGCAAATACCGGCTCTAAGTAAGGTACTGCATTCTGAAACTGTGAGATCAAGAGGAACAACTCTGAGAGCCAATAAATCAGCATTGTGACGAATGACTATTAATCCGGTCAGATCTGTCGTTATCTCAACCCCTCGTGCCCCATGTTGGGCACCAAAAAGAACTGTCGTGGTTTAAACCCAGTCAGGTAATTCGTTCGCTCACTCTCAGTGAGTGGTGCCGGGCTGACAACAATCGAGGCCCCCCCCCTCCACCGGGGCTCTCCCCTTCCCCGCTCCCGGAGGAACAGGGAGGAGGATCGAAAGAGTGCAACTCCTACAGGTTGAGACAAGAACAGTCCAGCAACCAATGTACAACACAAATCACCACCGCTACTACCAACAACAACAATGATAAGAGAAAATAACAAGGGAAGAGAATACGATACCACCGGCCAAGAAACAAGTCCCACCCGGAAGCCCGTGTCCTTCCAGGTAACTCCCAGTTACCCCCCACCTCGGCCATGACGTGCTGTGGTATGGAATACCTCCCTGGCTAGCCTGGGTCAGGCGCCCCGTCTCTGCTTCCTCCTGGCTTCCCCTCCTCCCTGGCAGAGCATGAGCCTCACAAAGTCCTTGGTCAGGGTAAACATCACTTAGCAATAACCGAAAACATCGGCTTCACCAACACTGTTCTCAGGCTGGAAATCAAAACACAGCACTACACCAGCTACCACAAAGGAGAAACATGACTGCTACTGCTGAACCCAGGACAGTCAGCAGTAGCTTTTTGTTGCTCTAAAAACTCGTATGATCAGAATGAGCTAAGATGACAATAAAACACACTGAAAGGCATGTAACTCTTGTCATTTTTGTTTGAAAAAACTTGTTTCATGAACCCAGATTAACCTGCATTTAGAAAAAAAATTTATTAGGTATTAACTTTGTATGATTTCACATATACCTGTGTATCTAAATCAGCACTAGAAGTAATCATCCAAAACTGGTCTCTAATTTGGAGCCAGGAAAATAGATTTCTGCAATTTAGGCCAAATAAATACTCCTGGCTGTAAACCAGGCAGCTTCAAAGCTGTACAGAGCTGTATGATGGTGACCATACTGCACACGCATAGAAGGCTTAAACTGCAGGGGACCTGGGGAGAGACAGAATCTCTTTCTGTGACTTTAAATATGGATACTGCTCCAAACATAGTATCAAAGCAACTCATTTCTGGATTTCAAAGGTGCCATTCCGAGATGAGGGAAATTTCTAAGGAGTCTTTGGGTTTGACTCTGGGGTGTATACATGTTCAAAATATGCAAAGAATCATCTGTTAACTAACTGTATTAAGCGATTATATTCTAGTTGTTAATATTTATGGGGCTTTGTTATAAAAATGTTTATATGGTATTTCACACATTTCTAATTCATCCAAGGATGTTCTAGTTACCAGATTAATTCTTAATAATCTGATATGTTTAGCTGTAACTAGGAACACCAGTGAAACAACCCAAGGAAATTTTTAGTTCTAAGAATTATGCAAACTAGTGAAATTGTATTGCAAAAGCCTTTCCTGTTCAGAGCATTTTATCACTGAAGTTCATGCAAACAGGCCTCTTCCTATTTGTTGCTTGCTGTTCATACTTGAAAGTTATTTCTTATACAGGTCTTCATTTTGTCCTAGATGCAGGTTATTGACGGATACTTTCTAGTTTGGGATGGTTTTTATTTTCCTCGTTATATGACATTTATGGGATGTTCATGATGTGCTAGCTGCATGGTTGCTCAACAGTGCTACTTTAGCAGCAAAGTAAATAACACAATTCTCAGTAGCTGCTGGCAATACAAGTTCAGCAGCCCTAAATTGTACCTAAGAGTTAAAAAGTGAGTGTAGGCAGATGTGTTATCTATGATGGAGCTGCTCAACACTTGCCTTTTGTCAGAGTAGCTGCAAACAGGATCTTTAAACTGTGACAAACTTCTGTTGTTTCAGAATGACTGCTTTAGGCAGGTGTTCGCCTCAGGATGAGTTCTTTATTTTTCAAAATACTGTCTTTGAGGAGACTGATACCTCAGCTTACACTAAGAGATGAGGAAAATACTGTTTTCCCATGTTAGAAGCCATTTTGCTTTCATTTCTTTCCGTTTCTCAAGCAAAAGAGACATAAGAAACCAAGAAAACTGTGACATTTGACCATGGTATAAATGCTGTGAGAAAGAAGGGGAAAGTATAGCTTCAGGCAAACATACTTAGTAAAGCTTCCTCCTTAAGGAAGTCATCCTGCTTAAACAGGCTGAACTGTGTCATTTTCAAAGAGTAATGAATAAGTTCAGGTATGGCTCTGTCAGAAGAGGTGTGTCCTGGGTTCAGCAGTAGCAGTCATTTTTCTCCTTAGTAGCTGGTACAGTGCTGCTGTTTAAATCATGACAAGGTGTTAGGGAAAATAACCTTTTCTTGCACTCTGTCTTTGCTCTGAGACCTAGACTGAGAATTTAAATGTTTACTGGCAGATGATTTAGGTGCTAAAGTAGCCTGAAATAGCAGATGCACAGTTGCAGGATTTGACATAAATTGACATAGTAGATTACAGCCATCAAGTGTGGCTGAGGAGATTCTAGCTGAAGTACAGGAGCTTACAAGTCTGTACACCTCATCCTGTGTAGAGGATGGAAGTTGCATGGGGAGTGAATGGAATAGTGATTAAATAAAATATAATGTCTGCTATAGTTGTGTCTACTACTATAGAAAAATACTTCCATGTTGGCACTTCATCCTTTTATCTAAACATCATGGATGGTGGCTCTAGCATTTGGCAGACTGCCCGTCTGTAGATATTGCACACCTTGCATGAAAGGTGAGGGTGGTACAGGCTGTGGCTTTAAAGTGTAGGTAAGAGGAGGCATCCTGTCTGTTTTTCTTTGCTAATAAGAGAACAGTGATAATACAGGATTATAGAAGAGCATTTTTCAGTAGGACAGTGTACCCTGGATCAAGATTATGCAACTTGAAAAATGTCAAGTGTTCTCCTTTCTAAGTTGCACATGCAGAAAGAAGAGGTACAGACTTGTCTTTGGCACATGATGGGTGCAGTCTGCAGAATTTTACGCTTGTGATTGCAACTCATAGAGACCTGAGCCATCTTCTGAATTGACAGAATGGCTGGCAAGGAGTTCATCTGCAAACCCTTCCTGTCAGCTGTCAGCTGACCTGAGCTGTTGCGCTCAGCTCTATTGCTGTTGCTTCATTAAAGCTGTACCATGCTAAAATTTACCAAAATGGCACAGATTTGCAATCTTGGAAAAAATGTGTCACAGAATCCTACAATGGTTGGGGGTTAGAAGAGACCTTAAAGCTCATCCAGTTCCAACACCCTGCTGTGGGCAGGGCTGCCTTCCACCAGACCAGGTTGATCCAAGCCCCATCTAGCCTGGCGTGTCGATCTGTTTACTGTATGCAAATAGAAATTTGCTGCTTAACAATGCAACTAATAGTAAATTAACGCAGTAAGGCTTGAAACATGATTTGTTGTTCTTGGAATACACAGAATATTTTATACCTTTGCATGTACTTGCTGTCAATTAATGTTATATTAACTTTCATCCATATCTGCACTCTTACTGACCTCAAATTCAAAGCAGGAATTTAGGAAGACTAAACTGAAAAGCAGTAATAGCCATGTTGGGAAATGAGTAAAGCATGAATAAGAGATGGGATCACCGTGGAGGTCTGATGTGCTGGAGAGACTGGTAAGCAAACGGGCAGACGCAGTTAGTGGAAGAGGAAAGAAAAAGTGGAGTCCAAGGATGACTTCTGTGTTCTTGGAACAATGTTGCTGTTCTATGAATGCCCTTTCTGCCTCTTTAGCGACAGCCAGCGAGCAGTGGAAATACACTGTCACCAAGAGGTGAAGTTGGAGAGGGGTAGAGGAAATAATTACTCTTAGTGCTCTAAGGCTTTTATTCTTTCAGTTCATTCACCATCTGAAACAATTCATGTTGCCTGTGAAAACAACACATTATTCACAGATAAAATAACCTGCAGTCATTCTCTGCAGCCCCTAGAAGCAAAGCATACCATTTTGCAATGGACAGTTAGAAATACAGTGAGGATTGCTTTTAATCCCAGTATTATGACTGGTGTTTGCCTACTGCTAAACCCTCCAAAACATGCCTGGGTCTCTCATTATGTATTGCAGTAAAGCCACCCTTTTCATCCTTCCCAGTGTTTCCTCAACACATCTGTAAGGATGAGAGAGTCCTGTTCTATCCTGTTGACATCAGTGGGGGGAGCCCACCACTGGGGGCCTTTAGAAAGGCTCACTGTGATCTAGTGATTGCTTCCACTCCTCTCTTTCATGCCACAGCTACTCTCTAAGAAAATAAAACCAACATCTTCCTAATACATTGCAATGCTAACCTTGACATCAGTGGGGGAGCCCACCACTGGGGGCCTTTAGAAAGGCTCACTGTGATCTAGTGGTTGCTTCCACTCCTCTCTTTCATGCCACAGCTACTCTCTAAGAAAATAAAACCAACATCTTCCTAATGCATTGCAAAAACCACCAGAAGCCAGGAAAATGTGATCTAAGTCTGCTCCTCATACTGATGTGATATCTTTATCTAGTCAAAACATTCACAATTAGGGAAGGTTTTCCAGTCTGCTTTTTTCCTGCCTTTTCTCTTGTTTTGCTTGAACATTGTTAGGCAGCCCAGGCACGTCTGAAGAGTGCTTTGAACATACATTATGAGGCTCGTATAGTTTCCATATGTATTTGATGGGACTTGGCTAGCTAGAAAACTAGCTTCCTTTAGCTCATGTGTGCAGTGTAATCAGCATGCTGGGTGTGGATGGTACATGTACACACTGAAAACAAGGTCTTGGCTATGTGGCCTGAATTGTTTGTTGACTACAGTTCTTACAGTCTTATAAATTTCACCCTTTCTCATTATGCACTGAGTTCATAACCAAGGCAAAATGCATGAAGAAAACAGTTATTCTGCAAGACTTGATGACAGTTGGAAAAAAAAAAACAAGTGCTTTTGATCAGGGAGGATGTTCTTCAGGTCCAAAATGACAAATGTCACATGAAGAACTAATGTAGAATCAGCTTTCAATTTCTCAACTCTGTTTCTAACCTGAAGGGCTTGTGTGCCCAAAGGCACATCTATTTTTTTCAGTCAATAACTGACAAGATATGATGTGTCTCTGGACAATTCTTGCCTAAATTTCATGACTGGTTCATTGGCTAATAGACCACAGGTAGTCCTCAAGAAGTAGCTTCTCCCTTCATGGTGCACCCTTCTGTTTGGCTATGGGGTAGCTGGAGCCCAGGCTCCTCTGATGAAATGTCAGGCCGAGTCTTCACTCAGGCTTCAGAAACTTCAGAAATAAACTAGCCCTTAGCTCTGCAGCTCACCCATTACCTCTTGTGTCATCACATCATTTTCATTACTTGAAAGACCTTTTTGGAAGCTGTACCATGAGAAAAGAGATTTTCCCTTTAGCTCAACTGAGTGGGAAGCAGTCAGTGCCCATCTCCAGCAAAACAAAGCGTATCCAGCAGCAACATCATTTCAGTAAATGGCCATGTTTGTGTAGACCACAAACAAATGTTGCCTGTGAAACACAGACCAAATCACCAATTTGTTTTAGGCCTAATTAAGTGCTGTGTCATGACACTGATCCCTTTTTCATGATGCAAGCACATATAATCTAAACACACTGCACCAGGCTCCTCAACATCCTCTGCATCATGCATTTGCGTCATACATAAACTACTCAGAGGAGCCTATCACGTCACTCATACCCCATGACAGCACTTACTTTTCCAAAGCTCAGTGATTAAAATACTCTTATTTTCTCTTCAAGAAAAGGAGGTTTTAAAAGGGTAAAATTGTATATGGTTTCATTTATTCTGAAAAAAAAAAAAAAAGACTTGTTTTAAGACACAAAAGACTTCTTGTTTTAAAGCAAAGTCAAGTCAGGTCAGCATATAAAATTACCTTTTTCCATTCTAAAGTCTTCACATCTGGTCATTCCCATATGCAAAAAACTTAAATAACCTTTCAGGGCTGCAGTAGGGCTAACGAAAAGTCCAACAAAATGATAGGTGTATTTGGACATTTGTGTCACACCCAGTGGGATTAAAAGGAAATAAATAGTAAATTAACAGCATTGGCAAGCTGCTTTTTTGACTATGTAGCACCACCAGCATATTTTACATGTGTATCACAGTCATGAATAAATCAGACTAGACACACATTCACAAACCAGTTTTGATTTCCTATTAAGCTATATGCTTATTTTCCTTCCCCCACCGTTTTCAGCTATTAAAGGATGCTAAGGGAATGCACTGATCTTTGTCTCTTTAGAACAAATATTAACTCTAAATTCTCATTATTGATTTTCACAGACTGATAAAACTCCGAGAGAGAAGAAAAAAAAAAAAATCCCTTCCTAATTATAAACTATTCTTTATATTTGAATTGGTTTTTATTTATTACAGACATAAAATCCTGACACCAAAGATGGCAGTTAAAATTACCATCATCATTAGCAATGTGCCTGGGGCTAGAGGGCTTGAACTGGGTTCCTCATTCAAGGGAATTTCATGAGTGCACAAAAGCAAGATTTTTCTTCCCCATACCCCTTCCCTGCACTGATAGTGTATCTGCCTGCCAAGGAATAAGTTTTGACATCCTTCTGATAGTTTAATAATAACTTTTCTTAAGAGACCGAAGGCATGGAATAGATTTTAGTCTCTGGTGGCTTCCTGAAGTAATAAAAATTGTCTCCTTGTCTTCTTCTCACAAGGAAGAACAAATCCTTTGAAATTCAGCTGCTTCAGACCATAGCCTGATTTGTTGGTTTGACCGTACCACCATCTTCATATCTCTCCTGCCCAAATTTTCACTTTCACAGCCATTTAAACTCTTTCCCTGACACAGAAGGCTCTGCCTCCTTACTCTGACCTGCAACAAACCCAGTAACACCAGATTTGAAGGCAAATTTCCCCTGATCAGCTCTCTTCTCATGTGTGCCAGTCTTTGTGTGTGTAAAGTGGCTAACTTCATTTGAAATTAAGTGTCCTGTTCTTCATTTCAAATCCATCCATAGCTAATTACTTTTGAAACTCCACCTGTGAAGTGCCAGTTAACCAACTCATAATGCCTTGGAAGTACCTGGTCACAGTCTGTTTACAGATGACAGAGGAAATAGCCATGACACCACAACGTTACACGTTTGTTTGATACAGAGTGCTATGTAGCTGCACCAAATGGTGCCATAGAAGCTTTGCTAACCAGAGTTGCTGCTGAACATGGTGCAAGAACATCTATATGAAACCTAAGTCACAATTCTTCTGCGCCCTTTGGCACCAGAAGTTCCGGTGTTGCGTCTGACGCCCCAAAACCTTGGGGGAACCTAAAACCAGAGGTATTTACCCAGCAACAACTGAGCTGCTCAGTCCAGATCTGCCAGGGAAGAGTGTCTCCTTTCCAAGATCAGAAATACAGAATTTAATTAAAAAGGGACACAACTGGTTAAGCTCCCTTCATTGTTCCATCCCATTTATCATCTGTTTTGCACTCCTGGTTTTATCTGCTAG